TATTTTGAGTTTTAGAGGTGAGGAAACTCCCATCTAATGTCAACGCACTCTTTTAACCAAAATATGTATGTTACGACATGTCGCAAATATCAGTTTAGTAAAAATATTTTGTCGATATATTTACACGGTTTCTGAAAAGAAGCAATATTAAGCCAAAATAAAAATTTAGGATCTGACCTTGACCTTGACCCCATTTTCTTTTTGGTGGACCAAGGACATCAATTCAAAAGACACTGGTCTCTATCACTTATGGTTTACCAGCTGCAATTACATATCACTTATTTTAAACACAGAAAGGGAAATAACTTTCATATGGAGTCTCCGGACCGCTTCGATCAAAATTATTCTTAAGGAATATAACGAGCAAATTGGTGAAATAATTTTGTCGTAATCATTTACGGTTGCGAAGGAGATGTGCAAACAAGAAAAACAGTGTATGGGGAGATAACTCTTACAATAAAAAGTGTTCGGTTAAACAGTGTCAGTTTCAAAAGCGCAATAACTGTTCGATATCATATGCTAAAAATCTAAGCGACATCTTGCGAAACCACTATACACCGCAAGACAAAAATGTGGCGGAAGAAGAAAAAAATAATAATCAGAACAAAATCAATAGGTCTTTCAACAGAAAAGTGGAAAGACCTAATTAGTTCGATATAATGCCCATTTTATCAATTATCATTACGAATGAATACACATGAGTATGTGTTTGTTATATTGTATAAAAGTATTGTGTAGTATCACTTAACCCGTTTCAGCTTTTTTATGCAATAAAGTTTCGTCAATATCAGAAGTTTTTTCGTTTTCTTTTATGCCATAAAGGTTCGATAACATCAGAAAAAGCTCATTAAAAAAAGTGATGTGTGATAATAATTATTATAAGAAAAACGAACCAACAGAAACAAGTCCCATGGTAATAGAACTTCCTTAAAGATAGGCGAACGATACAAAAGGGACATTCAAACACATAAGTCGGAATAAACTGAAAACGCCATGGCAAAAATAAAGAAAAAGACCAAAAGAACAACAGCAGTATACCAAACACTACATAGAAAAATAAAAACTGAGCAACATGAACCCCAAAAAAACGGGGTTAATCACAGTTGCTCCAGAAGATATTCGTTTTTTTTTTCAAAATAGGATACAGAACCTGTCTTACCTTCCTGACCTGTTAGACTATAAAGTCTTGTATTTGTCAACATGAACAAGCCATTTTTATAAATCATTGCTATCGGTTTTATTTTACATTAGAGGAAAATAGCCATAATTTATCAGAGGTTTAGAGATAGTATTGCTTGTTCATGTTTACATATTGCTGAATCCATAATAAATAAAGTGATAGCTTGGATCTGTAATGTTACAATATTAATGTATGGTATATTGACCTGATCTTTTTCATAAAGGACTGCGTGTTTTTATTTTTGATAATAATGTTCTACTCAATTTTTTTATTTTTTTTTAGTTTTTGTACAATCTATATTTCTTTTATTATGAAATGGGTTTTGTTTTAAGTCATTTCCGGAGCAACTTATATAAATCCCTGTATTCGAAAGGTTCATGTTCACTAGTTATGAATTTTTTGCCGTTTTTGTTTTATCATTTTTTTTTCTGCCTTACTTTTGTCAGTGTGTCCCTTTTGGTAACTTCCGCCACTCTTTTTAGATGACAGTAAATGTGTAGGGAATTTTCAAAGTAACTGTGAGTTTTTTATATGAAGGGTCAAGGTTGAAGAATAGTGTCCAGTTCGTAGAGTTGGCCTGTTTCAATTGCATATACCTTCATTTCACTTGGTAATATCCTTTTGGCGTGACTCGGTATTTATTCATCCCGCCATTGTGGTATTGTGCTATGGTCTTGTTTTGCATTCTTGACTTTCATTTTTGCTTATGTGCTTTGTCTATAGAGTGTATGTATGCCATTTTGTTTTCTTTGTTAACATAGTTATAAAAATAAGAAGATGTGGTAGGATTGCCAATGAGACAACTCTCAACAAGAGACCAATGACGCAGACATTAACAACTAAAGGTAACCGTACAGCCGTCAACAATGAATAAAACGCATACCGCATAGTCAGCTATAAATAAAAGGTCCCGAAATGACAAATGTAAAACATTTCAAACGAGAAATAACGGCCTGATTTATGTACAAAATAACGAACGAAAAACAAATATGATTTACAACAACAAACGACAACCACTGAATTACAGGCTCTCGCCTTTTTGTATAATGATTAAGATTATAACACAATGTTGACTGTTGTATCCTAATTTTTGACATTTTTACCTATTATGTCTATTTGTTTTGCACACATTGTTGTCAATACAATAGAATTATATGCGATTGTCATACAAGTGAGAAGTTTAGCTATAAAAGTCAGTAAGTTTTGACAGTTGTTTTCTATTCGTTTGATGTGTTTGAGCTTTTGATTTTGTCATTGATAAGGAACTTTCCGTTTTGATTTTTTGTTGGCGTTCGGTATTTTTGTTATTTAACTTTTTTATCATAATCCATACAAAAACAGTTCTGTTTGGTCTGTTTTTTAGTGTTTGCAGACATTGTCTTTAAGAAAAGAACAGTTTTAAAACTTAATAAGTGAAATATTTGCATACGTCGTGTAGGAACAAGGGTTGCCTTTCCAATCAATATTTCCTTGATTGATGGTTGTTGCTTACAAAGGAGCTATCGAATCAAAGGTTCCTAGTGGTGTTGTTGAAGTCGTCCATTTCGATAATTTTGCGGGAGACATTATGACTTATATGTTGACTGTTATAAAATATCTGTCCCTCAATGACACAGAAATGTTTCAATTGTCGTAGCCACAGCGCTGTCCTCTTTTTTCTTAATTATGACATCATCGAAATATACTTATTATTTGACTTTTACTTATTGTTAGCAACACGATGGGTGCCAGATATGAAGCATAATCTGTTTTCTCAGAAGACCCCTCTGCTCACACACACATTTTTCAAATCTTCTCCTCCTGATTAAATCTGTACAAGTCCCCCATTCATATATAATCAGGCTGGCAACCGCTAACCTTAATATTTTCATCAATACTTCTTTACGAAATATTGAAACCGAAGGACAGAAATACAAGTACCTTTAATTTGCAAAACTTTATAGACTTAACTAAAAAGACACTAATGCTCTACGAAATGGGCAATGGCCGTGCGGTCTTTGATACAAATAAATATTTAAAACCTAAATGGATATATGAATACTCATGCTACATCTATCTGCAAAGAGCCTTAACACACAGCTTCAAACTGTTTTTGAATACACATGATATTTTATAAAAGAGAAGCGAAAGATACCAAAGAAATTTCAAACTCATAAGTCGAAAACAAACTGACAATGCCATGACAAATAAAGAAAAGCGACGAAAAGACGAACATCAGTACAGAAAAACACAATATACAAAAAGAAAGACTGAGCAACACGAACCCCATCAAAAACCGGGGATGATCTCATATGTTTCGGACGGAAAATCAAATCTTACTTCACATATGGCACCCGTCGTGTGCTCAAGTAAGTACAAACCCGGTGATATTCTCATTCGGTAGGTCACTTTGGAGGAAAAGAGGGCGGGATTATTGTCACAGCAATTATAGAATATCCGTCGTCATCTTAGGAACAGATATTCTATAACGATTTGAACTTTAGCACTATGAACTCTTGGTTTTAAATTTGCAGTTGTCTTCAGAAGTGTATACCGAAGACTTCCGAAAACCGCTTAGAATATAATCAATCTATTCTCTTCTCGTGTTGTAATATAAAACATTTCATTTTTCTATCCTTTTCTAAAAATTCATCAGATATCAAAACATTTCAATTTTATCCCTAGGTAAACTTTTCTTTTTTAGAACCTGTATATGGAGTATATATCTCAAAGTTAAACCGATCTCCAAGGGTTTGCGTTTTCTATCATTAAGGTACTTTGTAGAGCGTTGCTGCTTAAAAATTAATAAAACTAAACAATGGCGTATGCTAGAAGATCGCCTAATTTAAAACATATGTAATAGTAGTGTTTTAACTCTACAAATACATTTATATGGATTATGGCACTCTTATATCCAATGTTAATATAATGAATGGTAGCTTAATTCATTGAAAATGTCTTTGATACTTGAATTTGATCCACCTTCGTTTTTAAATAATTTTTTAAATATTGTAAATGTTTTGATATTAAAGGCCCAACGAAGTCAATCTATCAATCTGTCAGATGACCAGAGGACATAAGTAGGTAATTATGATACATTAAACTCGTTAAACATATTTGTATTGGTCCTAAAACTTACTGTGTGTTTAAGGAGAAATAACTAATATTGATCTTTTTTACGTCTTTAACTCGTTTTAAAATCTCTTAATATTCAGATATGAACAACAACCTTATCCAAATAGATATATTGATACAAAATGAAACCAAATTGAAATAAAAAAGTAAATGTTTTGCTCTTATTTTTTGTAATTTTAAATCAAATGAACATACTGAGTCAAATATAGTTATAACAAAAATGTACCTTTAACAGTGACATGATTGATAAAGGCTGCATACCTTTCCATAATATGTGGACTTTTTAGTTCATAGCTGAAAGCTTTTCAGTAAATGTCAGATGAAGAACATCCATTAAATTGTTGATCCTTTGATGTATTGATATTTCATGAGTTTTTTTAATTCATGTACATTATACATCACATCAATCATTTTATTAAATGGTGTATATGATTAATTGAATTTATTCAAAATAATTGTGAAGATATTGAACAATAATGAAAATGAGAGTTTAGAGGTCAAATACTTCTCTCTTATGGACTCCCCCTTTTTGAATTTGCCTTGCAGTTCAGTATTTTTGTTATACTTTTTAAGCATACCTTCATTAAAACATAATATCGTTTTTTAAGTACAGAGTCTTTTACGTTGATTGCTTAAGTTATGGCATTTTGTAGTTATAAACTTCAAAATTACGATGAAATCATTTTTTGACCATACACCACTTATCTATTTTGTTTGGGAGGGGGGGGGAAGGATGTATGTTTCATTTTTAATGTTTTCCTTCTTTATCTTGGCATGGGCTTTATGATTAATATTTGACATTTTTATTTCTTTTAACACAATTCCTTGCTAACCATGTCACATTATCACTGAGTTTTTATTATGCATTTCAGTTGTGACCACTGGCATTGTAAGCCAATTAGATAACCGAAAATAACTATATACTTAAAGGATTTTTGTAGAACTACTTCAACCTATTGATTGCATTGGCTTACAAAGAATTAATCTCAAAATATATTAGAGCAAAACATTTACTATTAGTGGACAGTCTACGATGGATCAATACACGAAGCACAATGTACGACCATGATTTAAATGATACATTTTGTAAATTCCTAGTTCATAAATTATGAGATACAAACAACACCAAGATTATAACAAAAAAGGTTACCAAACGACAGTCTTTAAACGCTACAGAGAAGAAAACAGATTCAGCCACACAAAATCCACCAAACACCGAGGAGGCTGACTCAGGAGTTTTTTGGTTGCAACTATTTCAGTCAAATTTGACCTTTATGTTGAAGGAAATTGGTTTGAATTTATTCCCTTTTTAATTTTATGCTTTCAAACGTTTTCATTTACAAATGTATTTATTTTTTTGTTCATGGCCAAACCATGTGTTGAGCGCACGTAAACCAGTATCAAATTTTTTACATGTTCCTGTTTGTTATTTCTTCCACAGTCAAAAGAAAAATTTGAATTTCCAGGACATAAACCAATCTTGAAATTTATATAAATATAAGACAGAGAACTGACTTTAATAATGTTATTGTCTAGTTTGTGGTTTTTCATATGTTGGTCTACGTCTTCACTTAATATGGTTCAATCTTAATTTTAGTATATGACAGAATGTTTTCATTCAGGTTGGATTTGAATCACAGCAGGTGATCACATTTTGATTGGTTGTATTTTCCTTTAAATTCTTAATTCTGCTTAAAGCTTTAAAGTTATAAATTTGGTATCTCTTACCTGTTGTTATTCTAACACAGATATATTTTTAACACAATACCATTATACAGAGGTTCATTTCAGTCATTGTTATCAGTATGCTTGGACAACACCTTTATAAAGCAATGGTCCGTTTATGTGCAAAAACATTGCTGGCCAAACTACATATTTAACTTTATCGCCACTTTGTACAAATTCTTTGTATATATTTTTATCAAATGTTGAACCTGGTTGAAGATCTCCCTCCAAATGCATAGTAGGATCCTGAATAGCCATCAGCCAACAAAGACGAATGCACTTTTCAAAGAAAGGAGTCTTCATTAATGACAATACCAAATGTTCGTTCTTGTGTTCATATTCCCAGTCATACAAAACCATTTTCTCTTGAAGAACCTGAATTGAGATGTAACAAATGATATATATATATGTTGTAAATCTAACCCATTCATGGTTTTGTTTTAATTTTAATGACAAAGTTCATTTCTGAATTCTCATTTCAGCCTTTTCAGATTCTTACTGGTTTTAAGACCTATTACTATTTGTCTTTGCTGATTTATAAGACCTACATTAAGTCCTAGTTTTCAAACTATATCATGTACTTTGTACGATTGGCGGATACTGACAGTTAATTTCACATTTTATTATTGATTCAGTATAAAAAATAGCATAGGGATAAATGACCAAGTATACTATAAGACATAAATAATAGTTGTAAGTAAATGTGCCATAAATATATTTTCAAATGCGATACCTAGGCTATTTGACATATGAGTTTCCCTATAAGAGATTTAAAAAGTGTAATAGATAATTTATTACGATGAGCGAATGAAACAAGCGTTTGCATAAGTTGCTTGGTATTTCACCTATACCTTTGTAAAAAAAGTATTGAAAAAAGCACGGGAAAGTCACAAAAAGCAGCATTGAAAATCAATGTAAAATTTAAATAAAGTATACTTAATCATCATTCGCATGTACCAGCATATCTACCAAACAAAACATCTGATGGTAATTAGTGTTTTGTCTTACCCCATATGTATGTTATTTGTAATTAATTTAATGGTATATATCAACCACTATATCTACCACTTTAACGTTTACCTGATTTTCAAGTAAGAAATTTACAATTTTCTCAGTATTCTGTCTTCTGATTTGAGTAATTTCCTTACACCCAGGAAATGAAGATGATTCATCCTCCTTAAAATGGTAAAGCAGTACTCAATAGTGTGCATGTTTAATTAAATAACATTATTAACTTTCCCATCGCGACGTGTGTTTTACTTAATATTTGCCTCACAACAGATTTATCAAGCTGCAATCAGTAAGCCTGGGTAAAAATAGTTATATGTTGATTTTAACAGTTTGTTCACTTCTTATTCGAAGTAAGTATAAATAAAACGTTACGACAAAACCTGATGTGCATTTGGCATGATTTTACTTCAAAATGTTGATGCTTTAGACCAGAATTAAATTATAGTTTTGGCCATACCCATGGATTTGTCGCACTTATACCTAGGGCTACTAATACTATATTATATGTTATTGGAAATATCGATTACTAGTATTATTTTCAATTATTCCTTTATCTATTAAATTTTTGTTACTATTTTGTGTGTGGTGTTTTTACGCTTTTTGGAAGAGGATTTTAGTTTCGAGTTGTTTACTGTAGTGATTGTATTAGGATCCGACGTCTTCGCATGAATGGGTGTTGACTGTTGTCTATTGTCATGCTTCTAAATAGCTAAATGTTTATTAATTATGTGTCTAAGGAGCAATTGTCTATATATAGCATTGACATATACTTACAGAATTTACATCTAAGTGAAGTGTCGTCGAAATACTTTTCCCGATGATGCTCATTTGTTCAGCAGAAAAAATCACACATTGATGATTAGTACACTAAAAAGGAATTCGATAAGTAAAAATATCACATTTCTATTAGCCCTATTTATTTTTATTTCAAAAATAAAATAATGTAGTGTGCTAAATTGTATATTTATATTGCCTCGATTTTTTTTCTGGTGCAAATATAATCCTTATATGCTTATACGGAAATTTATGTTTTATGACTGCAATCAAGTGATTTTAAAAAACACAAAATCTTGACTTTATCATAGTCGAAAATTCCTAAGAAAAAATCTAATAAGATTAAAATAATGTATTTGAACTATAAAAAAGTGGAAGATACCAAGGGAAGAATCAATATTCATAAATCGAGAGAAACTGACAACGCCGTGGCAAAAAACTAAAGATAACGAAAAGCTAATCAAGTTCACAAACAATAAATATATATAGAGAGAAAACTAAAGACTGAGCCATACGAAATCCACCAAAAATTAAGGGTTATGTGACCATGAAGGGTAAGCAGATCCTGCTCCACTAGTTGCACCCGTCGTATTACTCATGGCTAGTACAAATATGTGATGATTCACAATCAAGGAAAAGAGTACTTGACTGTGGTTATGGCAATTTGAAAATACATTCGTGAAGGATATTGTTAAATATAATTCAAAAACAGTCATGAATTAACCAAGATTTCCCCATTGCTGCAGCATCTGCGAAACAAACTTTTGAATAATCTTGTCTCTATTGTCTTATTATAAAGGTTTCCAGTTCGCCTTCAATCTAAACAACAATAAGACGGATATTGCAACGAGGATGAAAGTCCGTGAGTAAAATGTACATTTCCGCAGAGAAAAAAGATTAAGGAAACTGATGGTGTGTGAATTGTCTGCTTTACAATGGATTTATTACAATTTACAGATAAAAACTTCAGCCCCTAATCTTGGTCGGCAATTTCTATAATTTCTGTATTGAATGCGTACTAACGTTTCACGGTCCATACAAACCCCGAAATAGGCCGTCAGACATCAGAGCAATCTAGAACTTTTCAAATATAAACTTTCATCTGACGCAGTTCAAATCGGTAATAGATATTAACGACAATTGCATATACCATTAATAATCTGTACAAATGACGAATAACAATTTCCTCTACTTCTGATGAACCCATGCCAGGATAATATTTTTTGGCTTCGACAGTGATATCCATTGCATCTGTCCATTCATTATCATATAGTTCACCGTACATTTCACCAATCTTCATTGGCCGATTTGGATCTCCAAGATCTGTTATAGCTGGGTTTCCTGCGGTCAATTTTTCACCTGCAACACTGCTCAGCCTGTGAAATATACAATAAGTGTATATTTTTTTTATTATTATTCATCGACATCAGTTTGTAATTCTGTTTGTTAAATTTCATATTTAAAAATATCGTACACGTGAAATCGGCACCAGTTTCGACACATGAAGTGTCTTAAAGAAACGTAAGCTACATGTAATAATGTTCTTTCAATTCAAGAGATGATATGCTGAGCTAAATTGAATCAATACATTTATGTATTAGATACACCCGTGAGGGCGTTAGCCCGCTTTTGGTGTATATAATTTACACCAAGATGTTAATGTCAATGCAGAATGATAGTTTTTTTTCAATAATTTTGGAGGGATTTGACCATATGTTATTGAAATGCATGATAAATGCAGGGTATCCAATTTCATTTAACGACATCTTGGTGTAAATGTTAAAAAAAGTGGAGAATACAAACTCAAAAGTAAGTTTAGAAGACAAACTAACTAATATCTGCATGCATCTGAAAGCCATCTGAAACGGAAGTCAACGTCATGCATGATTGGACATATTAATAAAGTGTGCGATACGTGTAATCCGTAAAATGATGACGTAAAGTTGTATGAAAACTTGTATGGTCAAACTCAGTAAAAAAAATGTCTGAATTCCATTTTAATATCAAGAGTTCTATAAATATAATGTCGACATTCACCCAACTGAACTAAGTTTCAATAAATCAAATAAAAACAGTAATAACTTTCCTTTCCTAGATTTAAATATTTCAGTTTCAAACGAGAAACTCTATACACAATTGAAGGGAAAATGGGACGATTTTTCGTTCATATTGTTGATTTTTTTAGGACGGTGATGTTCCTTGACACATCTTACGGTCGGGTGTTTATATATCACAACTCATTCGCTATGCCCGTGTTTGTGGTGAAGTTTTAGATTGCAATAAACGTAATATATGTATCGCTGGTAAATTGTTAACTCAGGGATTTCGTTTCCACAAATTATTTAAAACCTTTACTAGTTTATTTAATAGATACAAAGATTTGGTTTAAAAGTTTGACTGTATCTGTAAAAGAAAAACTTATAACAAACGGGATATCACGTGCACGTCATAATTTTTACGGTTATGTTGTTTATAGAGCCAGTAAATTGAGATTCTTGAATTTTAAAATGTTATCAATTTATCAATTCACGACCAACCGTAATCGAGGCGCTACCATGAAACCGTCGAAATTTTTAGGGGTAACTTATAAAGTAAAAGAGTGTTGTTAATTGTTTCTACAATGTTAAAGAAGGGAGCTGTGGCTTAACCAAAAACTGCTATTCACAACAATATCAACTCTCAAACAACAAAGTTTACTTTCAGCATAAAATGATTTATACAACATACCTAGTTTGAAAGTCGTCTTTTTCTTTTTGTAAAGCTTGTATTTTGTCATCGTTTTCTTTTCGTAAAGCGGATATCTTGTCATCTTTTTCCTTCAATAACAACATCAACTGTTTTTCCTTTTCTTTTTGCTGTTTCAAATGTTGTTGAAAGGAACTGAATATGATGAAAGAGATTGATTTGTAAACTAACATTGATAAGGAAGCGACAAAAATATATAATATATTATTGCAAAACAATATATAACTTCTATCACATCTATTATAATATTTATCCACTTAAGATTACAATCTTCATAATTTAAAATGCAAAGCTTGCGGATCATTTACAAATCGGAAAATCAAATATTGGGTGTGAATAAACATCACGATATATCTGAAATCGCGGTAGAATCTTCTACCTAATAATTTGATAAATATAAACTTAGATTATAATACTCCAAATTAATTTGGCATGAATCATACTGGACAATATGATAACCAAATGGTCAAAATTGACAGTTAGAGAAATCAGTATATTATTTTCTAATCCGCAATATGATTTCCGATCCCCTATTTCAAAAAATTTCGGCTGTGTTCGCTATCAATGCAAGTAAATTAGCTTATTGAAAAATGAAGAGAAAAAACTATCATATGGAAGAGACCGCTAGCAAGTGGGAATGTTAAACAGTAACTGCAGTATGGATAAGAATTTGTATTTACACTTCAACTTCACTGTACAGATGTCACGCTTATTGATACAAAAATAAAACGGTATGCCGTATTACTGAAATACAGGTTACCACTTTGTTAAGATATATGTTCCAGCAATCTTTTTATGAAGCCCCACCCAAATTCGCCTAGAAGCATGGTACACTAAACGTGGAGAAATGATGGTTTAGTATGTGGAAAATTGTCTCATTGGCAATCATACTTCATCTTCTTATATCAATATATATATATATATACAAGTCTAAATTGAAAACAACGTTCAAATCTATGATTGCGTTGGATAAAAACCGCAATTTTTATACGTGTGCATGTAAAATAAATTTCTCGGTAGAGGGGTCTAAATACAGCACAAACAACATTTTCAAAAAGACCAAAAAGTGAAAAGTATATTTTAACAAAACGCATTTGACTAACAGGTCGAACAACTGATGTTCTTAAACCCTGCTGACTGCCATTGGCGATTGCCAAATAAATTGATCACCAGATGTAACATGGATCTTAATTATAAAATTAATACCAAACAGAAAACAATAAACCTGCGGAAAAGATGGTATATCGCAAACATGAGGTGCAAAAATTTGTACACCATATCCGGATTTCGACAATTAACGTCTCTTCAGTGATGTTAGAGGTCGAAACGGTATTTGGAAGGCCATATAATTTACCTCAATTTAGGATAGATTCTGGAATTTTAAAGAGTCGAAATAGGATGATATATATATATATATATCAATAGTGAATGTATAAGGCAAAGTTATTTCGTGATTCACTTTAGTACTAGAATGCCGTTCAAAATGTGGTATTATATGTGTGTGTGATCCATATTTCAAAATATTACACAATAAATATAAAATAGATAAAGGACGTTGCAGGGAAAACGCTAATATTACAGCATCCAACAACAAAATAAAAAACTGTGGTATCTTCTCTGTGTTTTTTTTTTAAACATTGAAAGTTACAATGGACAGATCACGGTCCAAACACATCAATTTAAACTGTATAGCACCTCAGGTGATATCAACTTATTAATTAATCGACAGAGACTACCAAAGATACATACAAAATTCTTAGTAGTCAAAACACTGTTAAACAAGAAAAGAACATGCGACATGCACATTAAAATTTTTGTCGTGTGCAGTGTTCTATGAATATATTAAGAATAGTAAAACTAAAACAAAAAGTAAAAAGTAAAAACGAGTGGCTCAAGGTCATCCAAGAAACTATTTTTGATTTAAGATCATACGATTCTGATCGTTTTCAATCCTATATTTCTAAGACCTGGACTGAGATTGTAACTAAACATTCCATGGTACCTTTTTATCATCAACTTATTATATTAATGATAAATGTAGCTAGTCAAGTATTTCCAACTGACATATACCAACAGATTGTTCTGAACTATTCTTAATCCGATCCGATCGGAAACATGATCTAATAAAAGAATAGCTACCACACGTTTGGTTTATCTTAACAAACACGGAATTTGAGTTCTCATCTTTACCATCACTGCAACTCATTTGATGCCAGTATACCAGTATACAACTCGATTAATATATTTAATTAAGATTGGGATTTCAATTTTCGTTTTTCCAAAAATGCCTATATATAATCTTATTTTTTATCAAGTATAGCTTTAATAATTATCCAAGAATGTTTATGATGTATTTAAAAAGTCTCTCTGTTAACTGAAACATCAAACAGTGAAAAGAAGAAATAGCAAAAACTACCTTAACAGAAACAAGCTGTTTATTTCAGAGTTCATGTGACTGTCGTGTTTAAATATTAATCATATGTCATAATACCATATTTTAACTTAAACGTGTACTTTTCTGTAGAAAAAGGGGAAACAAAGTTTTTTTGCATTTTCTGAACACCTTTACTATAAAAATAAGATGTTGTATTTACTTTATTATCAGTATTATAGATTTGTGGTGTAGATGAATTTCGATTTTAACCATAAACGATTTAGACTCATTACTGTGTTTGCGGACCACTGGGTATTCCGACGACTATCACATGCGAAGAAGAATATCCAACGGCTCCAGCTAGTCTTAAAAAGGCCGTCAAGTGTCAGATTGATTTTGGACTAGCTATGAAAAAGGATATATGGGGTCAAAGTTTTTTGTTGTTTTATTTTTTTTTCTCCTGAAAGCTGTCTTCTCATTTTTGTCATTCGAATACATCCTCTGGATTTCGATTTTTATTATATTTTTTAAAAAGATTGGTCTCTACAGCCTTTCTTCACAATATAACAATTTCATTACCATGATAAGAGTTTTAATAATGAATATAAGGAATCGAAATAACCTGAAGAAACAAAAGATATGAAATAATGTAAAGTTATCTACACACGATTAAAATATCAAAAATGTCAATGATATACATATTTATAAACATTAAAATACCTTAAATTTTTGTCCTCCTTTTCTCTCATTACGCGTTGAATTTCTTTATCCTTCATGATAATATGATTATGTAAATTCCGCATCTCATTTTGCAGCAATGCAACCTTTTCTTTCTCATCGGCAATACTAAATTCAGCCAATAGAATTGATTAAACACACAATTTTGGAAGGAAATATATATACATATTAAAATTGAATATGACACTTTTTACTTGTCAAAAATGTTTTTGATACTGTGTTATTTATCGAAATTGATTAGGACGATTTCAGAATGCTTTCGTTTAACAAATCAAATAAAGACAACAGTAGTGTTCCGAAGTTCAAATCTCATCAATCGATCAAGAGGACAATACAACATACCAAACAAAAACTGAGGGAATCGCATGAACTCAAAAAGTGAGTCCAGATGCGTCGACAGGATAAGCGTCTCTTGCCATACATACATCACTCACCAATGATATACATACTATGTCAAAATGTCACAAACGGGAATAGGACACAATCGGCAAATTGCAAATAAGACGACTATTCTGATATCTAAAGAAGACATGTCGCTAGTGAGTTGAGTTGCTAGTTAGTTGAAGTATCGGTCAACTATTTCGTGAAGGTGGCCGTTAAACTTCTGCATTGTCGAATTCAGTCGTTCTTCCTCATCACTCTATTGGGGCAGATTTTATGTAAGGAGCACACCCCTGCTAATGAAGTCCGTATTTTGTGAACATGCCACGTAACGTATCAATTGAGGTATATTAACGCCATCAAATACGTAATCTTTAATGTAAACATAACTTTATATTTGTGAATAGGCAGTAACCGCTCATATGAGCCCCCGAAAAATTTCCCGAATTTTTACCTTATTTTCAGAAATTAATAAAAAGTGTTGGTTTCAAAGCATGGAAAAGATAACCTAATTGTACATGCAGTGTAATGATTAAAGCCATTTTTTTGCATAATAAAGTTCGCTTTTAGAATACGGTCAATTGATTTGTACTCCAATGGGGACTATCATATCATTTTGATGCATGTTAGGAATAAGTCAGAGATTGTCCTGACGTCTGGCCTTGTTAGGACTTGCTGTGGTCATTATCCCCACCAAGTCCCAATAGGTGGTTAGACTTTCGTCAGAGCTATTTCAGACTAGCCATGAAAAGGACATGCGAGATAACCGCAAACGAGACAGCAACCAAGCAACAAAAAATAACAAAAAGGACATCTGGTTATTTATTTTTGCTGCAGGCAAACGTATGTTTTTATTTTTCCTTAAAGCTGTTTTCTGATTATTGTCAATCGTATATATCTTCTACATGTTTTTTTCAACATATAACAGTATCATTTCCTTCAGAAGTTTGTTAGCAAAACGCATTTGGAAGTTGAAATTATAGGCACGAAACATTTTACTCAAAATGTTAGATAAATGTAATTTAGTACGGTAACAATATCAAATGCATCTCTTGATGTTGATATGTCACTTACCTTACATCCTTTTTCAGTAAGTATAGACTGACACTATACCTATGCTTAAACATCGATACTAAAGTAAATGCACACAAACTAATAAATATCCAACATATCAAAGACCCATTTTCAAATAATGGAATACCTAAAAGTTTTGTCTTCTTTTTCTCTCATTACGCGTTGAATTTCCTTATCCTTCATGATAATATGATTATGTAAATTAAGCTTCTCTTTTTGCAGCCCAGCAACTGTTTCTTTCTCCTCGGCGATACTGAATTCAGTAAAAAGAATTAATTAAAATCATATTTTGGGAGAAAATATATATGTACATATCAAAATTGAATATACACTTTCTACTTGTCAAAAATGTTTTTGATACTGTGTTATTTCTATATATTGGTAAGGATGATTTCAGTATGCATTCGTTAAAAATAATAATAATAATAATAATTCCGTATTATTGACAAAACTGGGTGAGCAAACAAAGCAGAGATAAGTGATTAATGTTCGGGTTTTTTTTAGGAGTTCGGTCAATAATTGGTACTCCAATGGGGATTTACCATTATCGTAGATTTGATCCTTCACTGAAGGGTACTCATTTAAAGAACAAACACCACTTTAAATTTCAAAGAATGTAACCATTTCACTTCTTAAAAGTTTAAACACAATATGAATACAAATATAAAATAGTCAATACTGTAGACTAAAAGAAAACGTCTATAGAAGTTCGCAATTAGCATCAATTCATAAACTTTGTATATGTGTGTGTATGCGGGTGTGTTGCTGTCTCATTTACTATGAACATAATGTTACAAGAATTGCATTTAAAATTCAATATGATGTCTCAAACAGAGGTAATATTTCAAGATGTAAAATTAAAATTTTAGATTTTATTTAACCAAGACTTATTCTAAATACTATCCTACCTTAACATCAATTCACTAATTCGTATATCTGATGACTTCAACGAGATTGCATTCTGATGTTGTACTTTTTTCATTTTTTCAAAGGTATCTGTTTTTAGTTTTTCCATTTCCCCTCGTATTGAACTATTTTCTTCTTTTTGTTTTGCCATTTTCAATTCCATTGATTTAATCTGTTGTGTGAATGTTGTTCTGGAAAAAAAATTGTTAAATAGTATATACAGTTTTAGAGTAAACGTTTTACGAAAATCACCTTGTAAAAAAATCTCGTAGAGCTGCTTGAATAATCGATAAGACTTTAAGATGACGTGTCGATTGAATAAACCAGAATACATTGTATAGGTGTATGTCGTCTTGTTAACATTTCTCATTTCTAGAAAGTTTCTGTCTTTTTGTCATTGTGAGATTTTTGACCGTATTGTATTTATTGGTTTCAAAATTAAGTGTTTTAATATTTTACCAACTCTAAATTCCCATTAAGTATTAAAATGCACTACATACATAATATTTCCCAAATATCTTACAATCGTTCGTCCTTTGCCTTAATATTTTGATCAAATTGAGCCCTAATTTCCTCTTCTGATGAGTTGGCTAATCGATGGTTTAAAGTCTCTATTTTTTCTTCTCTTTCTAAACTAAAAAAAAACATCATGACAAATATACTTCTGAATTCATTAAAGTAGCTGATATATAGTAAGAACGAGCCATTTTAAACACTGAAATAAAAGGATTAATATAAAATAATATCATCACAATGATGTGGTGGTCAATTCATGTTACGTGGATTTTGCTCTTTTTTCTAAAAATAAATATGTATAAATCTTATATTATTAGAAATGGTTTATAGATTTCAAATTTAAACAACAACAACGGCATGATGGTGGTCAGGTTATATTATGTTTCATTCCATTACAATGTTTCGCTTCTAAGAAATTGAAAGAATATGTTTTCGATTAAAAAAAATCAAATCATTACGATTATCAAAACTTTCAGACATTCTGCAAAGAGATAACTTCAACTTCAATGAGAAAAACCAATACCGTATAGTTATCTATAAAGGCCCAAACATACGGAAGCCATAAAGGGACACATGAAAAATAAAATTAATCCGTTATCTCGGTTTCCCAGTCTGTGATCTCGGATTCCCAATTCGTGATCTCGGATTAATAATCCGAGATAATCAATCCGTTATCTTGGATTAATAATTCATTATCTCGGATTAATAACCCGTTATCTCTATTTCCCAATCCGTTACCTCGAATTAATAATCCGTGATCTCGAAATTATAATCCGTAATCTCGGTTTCCCAATCCGTGATCTCGAATTAACAATCCGTTATCTCAGATGGATACAAAGTCGGATGGAAAATGAACTCTACATAAAAAATACAACAAGTGTCTCACCTCATCACTTGTCATATGTTAATACTAATATTAGATAGTTATAATATCTAGGTCAAACATACCTTTTCATAATAATAGACTTACAAGCGTTAAGTGGACCATGAAAATTAGCGTTGCTAAGCATTTGTGCCAATGGCATTTCATTTGCGCCATTTAAATCTTTCAGTTGCACAACAAACCATATTTCATTTGCCCCAATAACAAGGGTTAATTACGGATGCCCATTTAGGACCTTCCAAAAAATAATTTGAATTCGAGATCACGAATTTAAATTACAAAAAATGTGATAACGAATTTAATTCGTCATTACGAATAACAAAAACTGTTATAACAAATTCCACAAATTCGTTATTACGAATTTAATCTGTGATAACGATTTAAATTCGTGATCTCGAATTCAAATTGTATTTTTGGAAGGTCCTAAATGGGCTTTCGCACATACATGATTACCAACGACAACTTCTGAATCACAGGCGCCTGACTTGGGACAAGCACATAATGAATTTGGCAGGGTTAAACATGTTTGTGACAGTGGTGTAACCAGCACAACATAAGAATTGTCATATAAAAAAGTAGACTTTCAAAAAAAATGTATTAGAATAGTAATGAGTATATGCATTATAACTATAATGTACCAGGCAAATATTTTATCATAAAATCAATAGGCTTACCATTCCTTTCTTTTTTCTAGCATAAACGTTAGAATATATCCAGCTTGTTTCTTGACACGTTCCATTCCAGGATCTACCTTTTTTAATAATATTGACTTTTCGCTATCTTGAAATTCCGATACTTTCACATCGCACGCAAATTTGTAGAGCACATTTATTAAATCTTTTAAGTATTCCTTGTCGCAGTCATTCAACGCTTCGCTAAAAATGAAGTAAAAAAGTTGATTTGAAGTCTTTTTCATGAATCAGAGGACTTTAAATTAATGATATACATGTATGTTGCGGTTAATACTCTTATTAATTAATCAATTAATGTATCTAACAACAATTCGAACTTTTGCATTTATTTGATTTCTGTTTGCGTTTCGCCTAGTGGCAAACATTAAATAAATGCATATTTTGAAGGAGAGTAAAATAAAATAGCAGGAACTGTATTAGCGGATAAAATTTAACGACTCCTCTGAAGAAAGGCCCAACAAACACATTCTAGTACTGATAAGGTATTGTCATAGCAAATAAGGAATTTTATATAGTGAAAGGTGTTTAAAGACTTTTTCAAGTTCATTTTTATGATAAACATAATTATTATGTATAAATTGAAAATTGAAAATGTGTAAAAGAAAAGAAAATGAATATAAGAGTATAATAGAAATGCAGTTTACGTTTAAGCAAATGTAGCGTCAGGAATATTTTTGTTATTTAAAAACAACTCTCTATTGGGATAACTAATTACAAAGGTATTTCACTTGATGAATATATTTGGTTTACTAGTAATGTAATTTTTTACACACCTGCTTTAAAATTTTTAAGATCATAAAAAACAGACGAAAACAAGCCAAATATGCCAACTAAGTCACTTGTTACCTTCTATAATATAGAGTTTCATTTCTATTGTTTAATTTCAACTGGTTTGTCCGTTTGGTTGAGAACAAAAATAAGAGGAGCGTGAAGCGTCAACTTGAGGGTTAGATTGCAAGATAAAAACAATATATGCACGTATAATCTATTTGTACTCGCTATGAAACAGGAGAAACGCTTCGCAAACACCGCTTTTCATTCTGTTTCTTAAGCTCGTTCAACGTATCTTCAACCTTCTTTTTTCACTCTTACAGTTAAATAAAGGCTCTCTTATTGTTAATAAGTAAATGATTTAGGAATTTACCTAGAAGGTGCCTGGCTTGTTTTGGAGTCTATAAGATGATCACCTTCTTCGTGTAATTTTACTGCACTTAACTGTGATGCGAGTTCCTCAACTGTAACTTGTTCATTTGATTGAGATAACTTTTCTTTCTGTCCTGGGTTTCTACAAATTAAACCAAATCACAAATCAAAATATGGGATTTTAAATTATACTCTAAGATAATAAAATCATATACAAATCCTGATAAAATTTAAAGGCCAGATAGTAATTTAGTTTAACTGTGGTATAAGAATTTTGCATTTGCCAAATATTAATTTAAATAAAATGGTATATGCTGATTACAGTGTCACCATCACGAATAGATTGATGGATACGGTGTCTGTGTCTCAATTTATAAGAGACATGTTTGCACTATCTTATCAGAAAATTCGTCTGATCTGTACATTTACCGATTGTTTATGCAGAAGAAGCGTACCCTGTTGCCGCACCCGGTTTCGCTCCGATTGATGTTCATGCGATTTCCTCAGGTTTATTTTATTTTTACCTTATTTTGTATATTCTAAATGGATTTACGAAATTTGAACATTGGAAAGAACTGCTGCCTCTTATTTGAAACTTTTAAAATTCAAATTTGATTTAAGCCATTCATTAAACTGAGAATGTATTACTTACACTTCTAACTTTCTGTTATGGTATGCTTTGTTTTCGAGATCAGGATGAAACACTACATTTTGACTTATTTGATGTTTATGTGACGATATTTCATCATAATCTTGTAACGCACTTCTCAACTTTAACCACGAAGAAATGATCCTAAGAGAGTATTCTTCTTGTTGAATGGATTCTAAATTTGATTCAGCTGTAGTAAGTAATATGTGTTTTTTCTGGCAAATATTTTTCAGTTCCTTGATTTGTTCCTCACTGGTAGCAATGGATTCATTTAATGAAGGAATATGTCTTTGCGTAATTTTGTTGTTTTCAAATTGTTTTTGTAAAATAAGTAGCTCTGTTTCTTTTTCGACACAAAATGTCTTATTCTGTTCTAAATCATCAAACTTATCTTTAATAGATTGCCTCATACGGTTCACGTCTCCTTTGATATTGGCTGCTGTTTCCCTTGGAGTAATGATAATGTGATCCGCTTGTTTTTTACATTATTTGCATACTGGTTTACAGCATATGGTGCAGTATCCTGAGTAAAGTTTGTTATGACTGTCACACAGGTAATTGACAGGCAACCTTTGTTTAGCTTTCATACAACACTTCAGTTCCTGACGAGTTGGCATACATTCGCTGCACAGTTTTCGACTGCAATATTCTGAACATTTAGTCACACTTTTTTTCTTACAATTACCACAAGACTCCATAATTGTCAATGTAGCCTTATCTATTACTTCCTGGTTCAAGTCAAAGTTTAATATATCAATATATATTATTTTTTAATTATTTCTTTTATATGCCGATGATCAATGTTTGTTTAATTTTACACATATACAACTTTTAACGTGCAAAGTAATACTTCATAGATTTGAAAGAAGAACATATGTCTTCTACATCAAAAACACGATAATACGATTCTAAACTTTGGAAAGTAAATGGTAATAACAGGTTACCGTTTTCAACTAGAAATGTCATGATATCCAAAATTTATAAGAAGTTAATGTCTTCAAGCTTTTGCATGTTTATGTCTAAATATAATATTTAAATTAATGTATGATTTAATAACGTATATGATATTTATATATATGACCCTGTTCATGTAGGCGTGTTTATTTTTAGGATCGACATATACCTATTTTATACGGAGGCCAATTAGGGACATGCAAAGAAATAATAATAGTCTGGAAGTACATCTACACATATTCTGGTAAACTAACATAGATCGACGCGACAACAGGCACCAAAATCAAAGATAAACATGCTTTGTTCATGCAATTGATTAATGACAACGAGTTAATTTGTGCCGGCAGATCAGATTTAGTTTCGTTTACAGTAAAAAGAAATTAACAGGACCACGTACATATCCCAAATTAGAGGGCACCCTGCCCTGTTTTTAGACTGCACCCTCTGTCCTCACACTTGAAAAAAAAAACCTGTGGCCTTGTTTCTCTTTCATTTACCCAAATGTCCACAATATATTTTCTCCAACAGTGTCAAATGGCTTCATATTTTCAATAATCATGCATTACCGAAAACAACAGCTATCCAAGCTGATTTAAATTGATTGCAAAGGCAACATACCGGTATATATATATATATATATTGCTGGAAACGCAAACGAAGACTTTCAGATTCATAAAATAACTAATAAATTAATGGAGAATCTCAGTAAATCAGCTGGTCTAAAGCAACCCTGGGTATATTTCGTTTTCATAAGAACAGCAATATATTTCTAATAACGTGCAGTTAATCTCTTGAAAAAGTGTGATTTGTGAAGCGTTTCTCCTTAATATAAACAATTTTTCTACAATTACTGTCGCCCATAGAGTACACAACTCTATACACATAACCACGACCTCGTATTTAATGCTAATAAAAGCCAAAACTAATGTATCAAATTATATATCCACACGACAGTGTCATGTGCTGAGTTTCATTGCACATTATGATACATAATATCATGTCGACAAAATATAGTCAGTAATATATAAATTCTACTAAAATCAAAATATATATTAAATATATCATCAAATAAATTAACACAAGCAAGATAAATGTGATACACGTCTATTCGAATCGGCCCTGTCGTACTAAATGCTTATTTCCCTTGAAGCGCAGGAAAACAAATAACGGTCTAATGGGCAGACAAATAGAAGATATTAATTTCAATCTAGTTCAGTTCCTTCAAACGGTTGAAATAACGTTAACATTACCCATATTCCGGAGTCGGGTAAATAAAGTTCGTTATGTATATTCAGACAATTGTGAGCTTTGCCGAAGTTAATCATTCTCAGCGTTACCACTGAGCAATGTGACGTGTGCTGGATGCGAACTAGCATTTATCCTAATCCCAGTTGCCCCTACTATCACTAATATTTTAGGGACGTTTGTATTCCATAAAATTTTAATTGTTTGGTCGTACCAATGAATTATTGTTTTTTATGTCTTTTTCCTGTGTTCACTCTAGTTCCCGGTTTTGTATTATCCCTTTCCGACAGTTAGCTTACAGATTTGTGTCAATGATTAATAAGCTTTCATGAAAAATCAAACGGTTCAACAACAGAATTAGTAAAACATGCCCTGGAAAATGTAATAGGTTAAATGAAAGAAGGAAAAATAATAAATCGTCATTCAAGTACTGAAGAATATCTCACTTGTCTATACTAAAATCCAAATTGTCCAAGTCATCTTCCAGTAGGCTTAAACTTATACAAATAGATCACTCAGCTATAAACAAATTAACAAATTAACTAAACAAACAAATGGAATTCACAGAAGCATGTGTTGTTTACTAGATTGTCTGAATTCTTTGCGTTAAATACATATATCTAGAACCAGTCATCGATAAACATAAAAAAGCACTGTTGAGGTTGACGCTAGGGTATTCATAGTCTTAATTTGTACATATATGTATTAGCTTTTTACCAATCTTGTCAGAGAGGCTGTGCCATTCAATGTGTTGTAACATGTTACCAGCACTTAAGGTGTTTCTGTATTCGTTGGTTCCTCTTGGAACTTTTTCAATGCTATCTATGTCTTGTTTAGCCCCCATTAGGAATCCAAAAAATAGCTTGGTAAAACTATATAACATAAAACCTGAAAAAGTTGCAATCCCTAAGAACAACAAATTATTTCCACCAAAAAACACGATATTCAAATTCGAACAGTTTCCAAATTCCACCCTGCATAACACAGGAACAAATATTTTCCCCGAAAACACTAACCAACTGGAACAAACTACTCTATAACTTCATAAATTGCACATCAGTAGACTCTTTCAAATTATCAATCTCAAAACATCAATATTAAACTCAGCTATTCACATCAAACCAATTTTACACTTGTAATTTTCATGTTTCTTCCATTTTTAATTATATATAAAATTAACCCATGTCTTGTTGTAAGTTATCCTCCTGTGACATAACCTTCAATTTGTTGAAGGCGGTCACTATATGGTAGAAGTTGTAGTAGAAGCTCCCACGATGTTAAGGCTAAACTACATATGAAAATAAAGAGATGTGAGTAGCACGTCAAGTAGACAGCAACTCAGCGATACAAACAACAAAACGACAACATAAAGCCTTCAACAATAGACAAATATCTACGCAATATGACAAGCTCTCAATCGACTAGTGTCTGCAAACTTTGTGAAAATATATTTAACAGAAACAATAAAAGATCTTTCATTGGTACTTAATTCTTCGAACAACGAAATACATTAGATAACAACTACTGACAAGGTTCCAGACTTTGGACAGGCACATGCAAATTGGCTGGATTTAACTAGTTCTTCACACCTCAGCTTCCCCTTTTCAAACTTGATCAGTAGAATAACAAAATGTACATGGAATAACATACAACAACAGTAAAGGAAAATGCATTAACCTCTTCAAAAACGGTATATTAAGTTTTTTTTAAAAACACAACACACCAAAAATAACTAATTATTCCATAATAAAGGATGCTTGCAATCACTTTAGAAAGCTCAAAGTGCTAACACGCCGATAAGAAATCCTGCCGTTCAACACTTGTATTAGTTTCTGTACTACACGAAAAGCTTGCATACAGTATTGTCATAATAAGTACAAGAAGACATGATTTCGATTGTGCAATACCCCCAAACAAATTCTGCAGAAAAAACAAAAGAAATGTTTTAGTTTTGCATGATGGAAACTTACAAGCATGCATTGAAAAAAAATTGGCTGAAGATACCAAGGGGACATTCAAACTCATAAGTCGAACAAAGACATGGCAAACAACAAAAGACGATAAAAAGACAAACAAGTCCACAAAACAATATAATAGAAAAACTTAAGACTGAGCAACATGAATCCCACCAAAACTGGGTTGATCTCAGGTGCTCCGGAAGGGTATACAGATCCTACTCCACAAGTGGTACCATTATGTTTACCCAATTATAAAAATAAGAAAATTTTTCTCATGGATTATCACTGTCTTCATTCAGCTTTAGGCTCAATCATTGTGTTGTTGTTTTATGCCCCTGTTCCTTAGGAGAGGGTATACTGTTTAATGTCTGTCCTAATGTCAGTCCGTCCCATGAACAAGTTTTTCGTCAAACTTTCCTAAGGAGCTGCAAATCAGAGCTTTATGAATTAGGTATTAAGCTAAATGTAGCTTATATGGGCAAGCTAGACTGTGTGATGAGTTTTCATACTTCTTTATACAAGGCAAAATCTGTATAAAAAACTTGACATTTTACCTTGACACATTATTTGATTAAAAGAGGCCCCTCATGGGAGGGAATCCCATTAATCACAAATTTTTCTTGCCAATATAATCACATAATCATTAAATATTTGCTTAAACTCGGTAATCAAATAATCAAAAATACATTCCAAGATAATCAAATAATCAAATAATCATGAAATATTTGGTCTAGTAATCAAATAATCAAAAACCCCATGAGGAGGCTCTTAAAAGGGTTGATTCCATGTTATTCGTACTTCTTAATGATGCGTTCTAGGAGGAGAAGCAGCAAATATCAATTTTGAAGTGTTTGGCACTACATGACCAAAGATTTAATCAACAACTTTCAGTATTCAAGACATGCAAAATACTGAGAATACAGAAGCAGTGCATACAAGTGAATCAAATAAATTATTGAACAGAAACTCCACCATGGTCCATTATACTAGTATAGTACTTTCTTTTCGATTCAGTATACTATTTCTTAAACTTTTTTCTTTCCATAATAAAAAAGATGCTATTTTTTTCGTCTTCATTTGTTTTAAAGAAGCATTCAGGTTCATTTTTTTTTTTATTTGAAGGACTGGAAATTATTAGGAAATTATAATTATACGTTTAAATAATGTGAGAAAAATATAAGCTTTGTATGAGGGATGTCCGTTACAAAATATTCATATTTACTAGAGGTGTAGCAGAGAATCCATATTTAATTCAAGCAACTACACCTTAATTTATTGTCTTCAGGACGATGAAGAATATCCTTCAGCAACTTGCAAGTTCTTATAATTGTTGGACTTCATCTACAGTTGCGAAACAGTACATGTCATATAAACAGGAATCATCATATTTATGACATTTTGATGATTCCTGTTCATTAAACAAGAAAGAAAACAGACACACAACATCTTATAATTGAACAGGCAATAGTGGACCATGAAAAAGATCTGTGGTAAACATTGTAAATTATATTAAATCAGAAACTCATCAAAATATTTGATTATACAAAACAAGCAATG